AGTTGGCCGAACACGTCGGCTCCCAAGATGAGGTCGATGGGGCCGGGGACGAGGAAGTCCGGATCAGAAAGTTGCAATCCTTTCCGAGATGAATGAAAGTTCCGAACCGGAGTCCAGGAGCATCCTAACCGGATGCGTCCATCCTTGAGGTGCGACGAGGAGAGCCCTGGAGGTGGCGAGGAGAACCGATGAGCGGAGGAGAGCCGATTGAGGGGGCTCCGCCTGGAGGAGTCACTCCGATTGAGGAAGCGAGGCCGTGTCTGGATGCGTGCCGGGTTGGTCCGGCGGTGCACCCGCCTCTTCCAATGAGGAGTCCCTGCCTGAGGTGTCCGCGGAGGGGTGAGGAACGGCTACGTGGTGAGCCGTCGCCCGAGGAGCTGCAGGAACGGGTGTTCTTGAGGGGATGCCGGGCCACCCACTGTCCTGGGGGCGGTCGTCCATCGGGTGCGCCGGGAAGTGGATGAGGGTGTGGTGTTTATTACCACACGTGCGGCACCGACGTTCGCTACGGCAATTCAAGGCACTGTGCCGGCCGAGGCAGTTGTAGCACAAGCGGTGCTGCACTGCAATCCGGCGGCGCTCGATGATGGGAAGCGCGAGGAACTCCGCACACTCGGTGATATAGTGTCTCTTCCCACACATGTCGCAGAGCCCGTCCTTGTAATTCGGCGGAAGCTCAGAGGCATGATGTGCCCGTCTGGCGGAGGCTGGAGGTGGTCGTCCGGCCACTCGTGGAGCACTGGGTGGAGGCCGAGGGCTGACCGAGGGGCGTCCGGAGGTGACCGATGGTCTCGAACTCGAAACTTCTTCGCGGGAGAGCTCGAGGGTCTCTCGGGCTCTAGCCCGCCCGGTGAGGAAGGCTTGGAGGTCCTTCCAGGTAGGATGCTCTTCCTTCTGCCCGAGGCGATTTTCCCAGGCCTCGCGCGTGAGGGGGTCCAAGCGGCGCACCAGCAGGTGCACCAGAATGACGTCCCAGTGCTCGACTGGGACGTGGAGGCCCTTCAGGGCATCGAGTGCTTCCTTGGCCTTAGAGAGGAGACCGTTGAGGGCCTGAGAGGACTTCGGAGGCAGCGGTGTCCCGTTGACGAGGCGTTCAACCTGGGCGGAGATCAGGAGGCGTCGATTTTCATACCTGCGAGTGAGGGTGTCCCAGGCGGCAGCGAAGGCGTCCCCGCTCACTGGGATGCTTGAAATGAGGCGTGAGGCCTCCCCCGTGAGGCTGGCCTTCAGGTAGAACATTTTTTCCACCGGTTCGAGGTCTGAACAGTCGCCCACGAGCGTCGAGAAGAGGTCCGCAAATGGACGCCACTCCGTGTAGCTCCCAGCGAATGAGGGGAGCTGTATTTTGGGGAGGGATCTACGCACCCCTCCCGAGGCGGTCATGAGGGAGCTCCGGGCGAGGCGATTCGCGGGGCGAGGGGAGGCATCTTCCTCCTTTTGCCTTTGCTTTTGTTTCAATGAAGTGAGTCTCGACTTCGCTGAGGAGTACACTTCGAGGGTCCGCAGGTAGGTGTCCGTCGTGAAGTACGCATGGTCCGTGAGGCCTTCCACCTTTGCCTCGCACAGCTTCTCATGCAGAGCCTCGAACTTGGAGAGGTGACCGTCTAGGAACTCCTCCCGTTCCGTGAGGGCATCGAGGCAGAATTCATCGAAGTCGCCGTTCTTCGCCTGCTCAGACAACAGCGTAATAACCTTGAGGCGCGACGCCTGCAGGCCGAATTTGCCTTCCAGATTTGAGGTGGCCATTTTGTTAACTTCCGACACGAGGGGCTCACTCACACACAAAACTGTTCTCCCCGTATCCGGCTCGAAGGACCACTCTGTTTAGAGGGGAGCGAGGAAACCCGGGGGGAGTCTGTACACGGAAAATTACACCAAAAAAAAAACGCACGAGGTAGTCAAAACAGATGGTCAGTTTATTAAAACACTTGAGGAGACCCGTCCAACGAGGGAAGCCGTTACACCGGGCGAATCGTATCGCGCGTGGTTTAATATAGTACACAAAAAACCTATCGTCCACGGTCTACCCTCGAAGTTCACTCCACTCTTCAGAATCGCACAAAAAGGGTTCCTTAGTTCGGTGCCCGTCTAGCAGAGTCCGAGGAAGGTGCACGAGGTGCCCGTTAGCCGGTTACGACCACGTGGCGTCGTCGCGGAATCCGGTAATGTCCCGAAATTGCGCACGAACCGATTTAATCTAGGTGGCCGTCTTGAGATCAACGCGAGGAGTCGAGGATAGCCGATAAGTGTTCAATTCAACGCACACTAACTTGATAAACCGATACAATAATTGAAAACCGTGCGGAGCTCAATGTTCACGTGTCGGTTACAAGAAGTAATATGGCTACGCAGCACGCGTCGCTCCTTCCCGAAAATTAGTTCCCGAAAAGGAACGCGTGGCGGCAGCACCTCCCGGACGGGCCCCGCGTGACGAGGGGACCCTTTTTACGCGCGTTCACGCAACACTTTCAAAGCCCAATTCAATTCCTGAAGTGTGAAAGGTTCTTCATTATCAGTACTACCCGAGTCCAAAAAGAGATTATCCCAATCCTCACCCTGGGACCCCGAGTCGCCCCCTCCTGACCCCAGAATCTTCTCAGTTTCCCTGTCTTCCAATGCTCTCTTCTCTTCGCGAGGGATGTCTTTCCCTTCCCTTGAGATTCCATTTGTGATATTCTTAATTTTGCGCCATGCATCCTTAGAGCTCGTAAAACAATCGATGGAGCTCGCGAATTCGTCCCAAGCCTTGCTCTTTTTACTACACACCAAAGATCGCATCTTTTTCTCAGCATCCCGCAGCGCGGTCCACGCAGCCTGGGACGGCCTGCGGATATAGTTCCTAACCGCGGCTCTTCTATCCCCCTTGGCTGTGTTACACTCCTCGTCCCACCAAACCTGCTTTCTCATTCTACCAGGAAACGAGCCTCCCCGGGCAGGCCCGCCGCGACGGGGTTTAGAGGCGCCGCCCGCCCTACGAATAGCTCTATCCAGCGCTGCCAAGAGCTGAGAGCATTTGTCATCCACATTGTTATTATTCCAAGGTTCCCTTTCCCATCCAGATCCTAAGCTCTCAGCTTCCTCTCCAGTATAGGCCCCATATAGTAACCAGTTCATATTTTTCTCATTATATTTTCTCCCCCCACCCTCGTTCCACGTCTGGGCATTTTGCCATCTCACCTGCATCCGCAGAAGTATAACCTGGTGATCCGATCCCATTGTCTCGTTTTCCTTTTCAACTATCCCTTTGCTCATCACCTCCTGTGACCCAATTATAAGGTCAAGATTGGAGAGAGGACGACCCCCGTATCCTATCCTAGACAGGGTAAATCTATTCAATACAAAAAGATTCCAGTTCCTTATCACATCCTCCAACAACCGACCCTCCCGGCTATCCACGCTACAGTTCCATAACTTACTTCTAGCATTAAAATCACCCATAATGATCGTGGCCACACCCCTCCTGCAATTAGAGTCGAACAGGTCCGACCAATCCTGCCGTGTCCAGGGCGTGCCGGGCCTTCTATATACTATAAACACATCCAATATTCCTGACACCAATTCCAAAGTTATACCCAACACCTGTCTTCCCTGACCATTCCAAAGCAAATCATCCCTAACCTTGTAACTAATATCCTGCCGGATTAGCACCGCAATCCCACCACCCTGCCTATCCTCATTCAAATCTTTCCTAACAATACTATAGCCCGGGAAGTTAAACAGATCCGCGGGTTTCAACCAAGTCTCTGTGACTCCAAACACATGGAACTTCCCAACATATTCTTTCATCTCAGCGATCTATCCTTTCACACTCCTAGCATTCCAAATACCTAGCAACATATTCTCCACCATTGTGACTTACTTAAGTGAAAACCTTTATTTTCTTCTAATCCCGAGGGCACGGGGCCCCCAGTCCGCCAGGACTCGTCTCTCGCAAAGTTTCCATGTTGTACTTCGCAGGAAAGCAGGACAGCAAAACCGCGCCAGCCTACGAAGTAATATAAATTCAATAAGTTCCTTGACTGACCACCAACCAGGACAAACCGTAATAGACCAACCCCAACAGGTAGGACAACAAAACACACATAGGTAAATTTCCTCTCTTTACTCATATATTTTAAAAAAATGAAAAAATATGTCTCAAGACCTTGCTTACAACGATATATCAAAACTATCTCGCAAAGGCGAGTACTTAGCTTACTTCGATAACTTAAGTGTATAGCGCACGGTACTGTAACGCAACTAACAATTGAGCAAATAAAAAGATAATCAACCAACTCAACATTTATTAATGTGTAACCCACCACCTTCAAAAGGGGACAGCGACAAAAAACCAAAAAGCAAGGAGCATTATTACCCGTTTCGTGAGAGGAACGGGAAGGCAGAAGGCTCCCCAAAGCATCGTTCCATATTTCCAAATACAAAACAGTCCTCAAAGTAAATTTCCAGTGAAACATTCCAACAAGATTCAAAATTAGTCCGCGTCCATGTTCCTTAAAAAATATAATCGCTATAATCGCATAATTCCATACTCTCATACCATACCATTGACAACTAAATAAAGACTTAAGACTAAGAACACACTCAGACCAAAATGGCCAAACATACAAGTGCATCCTTCTCACGCATTTCCAATCACTCATATCTAACAGAAAACCGCCATTAACACAATAAAGAAAAGACCACGTGAAGGCGCTAAATATTGTCGGCAGAGGGGTTCTGCCCAAACACGTGACCAAACTGGCCTTTACATACATACATACATAACGGCTTTACTTGGGCGTAGCCCAAGATGGCGTTCGAATGGGGGGAAAGCCCCCCCCCCCCTATATTGCCCATCGAAAACAGCGGCCTATTCAAACCAAAAATTCCATATCGCAATCATATTAACAGTTCATAATCAAAGCGCATCGGTACACTCATACGTCTTTTTATGGCTAAAGAGCCATAAAAGAGCCACCCCACCCCAAAAACCTGTAAACTCAAAATAAATTCACGAAAGGAACAGTATTCTCATATAATTCTACCCAACTTATTCAGGAACTTGGAGATTTTTTTGCAGACCCCCAAGTTTCCACTCATAAAAATATCCAAAACATCCGAGCCGGGGGAGAACCCCCTTTCTTCCAAATACAAATTCAGGTCTAATCTATCCATCAAAAATTTTTCACAATCCCAAACTACATGCCCAATCGATTCCTCTCCGTAGCCACAGCTACACTCTTTACTTTCAATTAGATTTTTCCTAAACAACGACTCTCCTAAATTGAAGTGGTTCGCCTTCAGCCTACTCATTCTTGTGAGTACTTCCCTATCTACCCCTGTGACTTTAAAAAACCACGGTTTCTTATTCCCCACGTTATTTTTGGGATTACTGAAATATTTTGCTTCTTTCGACATACCAATTGTAGTCATCCTATTAATAAATCTTTCCCATGCGCCTTCTGACAGATACAATCTAATGTCTCGGATGGAGACACCTACCCCCAATTCCTCCTCTCCCCTCGTTGCGAGCCTCGCCTGGAGGTCCGCACGTTCATTACCCTCAATTCCTACGTGGCTTGGTACCCACGCGAAAGCCACATTCATGGCATTCACGTCTTCTCTATCATTCCAAAGAGCATTCTTTCTTAATTTCCTGACTATCTCAAAGCACCAGGGGCAATCCCCCTGGTTTTTCCCCACATGCGCAACCTTCTCCAACACGCTCGCCGAATCCGTGATAATCAAGAATTTGCGGTTCTTTGGCTTATCATTGACGTATCTCAACGCTTGGAGAATCGCGTAAGCCTCGGCAGAGAAGACTGAAGTGGCCTTATTCAAGAACCAGCCAAAATCCTCCCACTCACTGTTTGTGCCTCTAACCACCATCCTGGACCCTACCGCGTCCATGCCGCGTTTCTTAGAACCATCCGTATATACTTCCACTACCTCGTCAGCATTCATACCATTCCAAAAACCATTATTAATTTCCCTAAACATGGCCCTATCGGGAATCTCAATTTGTTTTCTCCTCTTTCCCATTTCCCAGTTGACTTTAAAGCCCCCTTTAGCTAAAAAGGTACCCACCTCCACCCATTCTTCTCTACTCATTTCCGCCGTTTTACAACACTCAGTCCATTCTTCTAACTTCACCCAGGCCCTTGCCCAGGGTTCCATACTCTCCCATTCTTCCTCCTCTCTCATCACAATAACATTCTCGAGATTCTTTCTAACCAATCTATCGGTCTTAATTCTATGCTTGAACATAAACCTTTCCATCAGGAGTTCTACTCTAGTTTCTAAATCAGCCACTCCGGTCTCCACATTCATCACATTAATGGGAGTGGTTATTCTATATCCCATTGCGATTCTCAAACCTGCATTTTGCAACTTAGACAACTTCTACCTCCCCTTCTTATTTAACCAGAAATACGTGAAGATTCCATATTCTATCACCGAACGTACGAGACCTTTAAAAAATACGATCATCGTCCGGGGGTTTACCCCTTTTCTAATGCTTGCTATGTACCTTAGAATATCCAGACGCTTTTTGGTCTTGTTACAGATATAATCCACCTATCCCCCAAACGACAAGCCCTCATCCAAAACCACCCCTAAAAATCTAACCTCTCTGCTACATTCCACTATCTCCCCTCCGATTTGGATGGAAGATTTAAGCCCTTTCCTGGCTCTATTTTTAGTAAAAGTCATCCATTGTGTTTTCTCCATTACCAGGTCCAGGCCTATGTCTCTCAGGTTTTTTATAATCCGTTCAATAGCTTCGCTTAAGCTACGTTCTCTTTCCAATCTATCCCTTCCCCAAACATATACCACGATGTCATCTGCATATAGTAAATTTCTAAGGCAGCTCTGGTCCGCCCCCGCGCAAATATCTGAGGAATAGATATTATACAGAAGGGGGCTCAATACAGACCGCTGGAGTAACCCCCTGGTCACTCTGCCCTCCCTTTCCGGGTCAAAAGTCCTCCTACATACCGCCCGCCTATCCGATAGCCAGTTACCCAGGTATCTTTTAATAGGCGGGGGGCATCCCTTGCTTTCCAATATTTCTACCATTTTCCCATGTAATACCCTATCATACGCCGCTTTCACATCTACAAAAACGGCCGTAGTCTCCTCCTTCCGAATGAAGGCTGCTTTAACATCAGAGATTAAAATCATGATGTTGTCTACCGTGGACCTACCCTTCATAAACCCACTCTGGCGGGAGTCCACAATCCCCTCCTTTTCAACCCACTCCTGCAGACGCTCTTTCACCAATTTTTCTAATAATTTCCCTAGGCAATCGATCAGGGAGATTGGTCTAACGGCCTTTTTCCCTGGTTTATCTAGGAATCTCACCACCACCCTCTTCCATCGATCTGGGATATGCCCGTTAAGCCATATCCAGTTATACATTTCTAAGAGTAACGTTTTCGCACTCTCATGTAGGTTTTTTAAGCTCGCGTAAGAAATCCCGTCTTCCCCCGGGGCTGTGTTACCTCCCCCCCCCCCCCCCCCCCCTCTCCAGTTCCTGTCGTGCAAAATCCTGATTGTCGACACCACCCTCCCCCAGATTCTCCCGCTCTGACTGTTCGAACCGAGCAGCAGGTTCATTCATTCTCCTATTATCGTCTCCCAGGATTTTCCTAACTTCTTCATTTCCTAGTTCCCTTCTCTCCTGTATCGGTATAACACACGCCCCTTCCCTGGCCACGCCATTCCTAATCCCTTTTACCTTTCGCCAGGCGTCTTTTGCGCTCGTATAACAGTCAATGGACCCCGCGAAGTCATCCCACGCTTTACTCTTTTTTGTATTTACCAGACTTCTCATGTTCTTTTCTGCCTCCCTTAGGCTGGCCCAGTTTTCCTGGCAAGGGCTTCTGATATATTCACGTGTGGCTCTCCTGCGGCTATTTTTAGCCGCTTCACACTCCTGATCCCACCATACCTGTTTTTTCCTGATTCTAGCGCCTACAGGTTCCCCGGGTCTGGACCGCGGGATTTTTTTCCCCCCTCCTGCCCTTGTTAAGGCCCTGCACACCACTTCCGTAAACTGATCGCATCTCATGTTGATATTTTGACTCGACCACGGCTCTTTTTTCCATAACTCATCCAAAACAATCGCCTCCTCTCCTGAGAAAACTTTAAACAACGCCCAATTTATATTCCTTTCACTAAACTTTCTAGTCCCTACTTTATTGCCGTTCCCTACAGAAGTGATTCCCTCTTTTAGATGGAGGAGAATTACATGGTGATCCGAACCCAGCGTCTCATTTTCTTGTTCTATGGAGCCCAAAGTTACGAACTTGTGCGAATCTATGAAAAGGTCCAAATTGGAAGGTGGACGCACCCCAGATCCTATCCTAGATAACGTATATCTATTCAGGACAAAAAGGTCTGCTTCCCTCACGGTCTCCTCCAGCGATTTCCCCTCTCTACTTTCAACAGAGCAGTTCCAAGCCTTGCTCCTAGCATTAAAATCCCCCATAAACAGTACCGGGACCCCGGGTCTCCTACGTTCCAACAAATCCTTCCACTCCCTTTTACTCCAGGGAATCCCCGGTCTCCTATATACCACCACCACATCTATCTCCCCCGAATCTAGTGTCACAGTTACTCCTAAGGCCTGTCTACCTATACCGTCCCACGCAAAAAGATCCCTAGTTTGATATACAATGCCCTTCTGAAGTAATAAGGCTACTCCCCCTCCCTGCCTATCCTCATCCAGATCAAGCCTAACAATATTAAAATCAGGAATATTCAGATCATCCGTAGGTTTGAGCCAAGTTTCAGTAATTCCAAACACGTGAAACTTTGAGATATATTCTTTTAATTCCGCAGTTTTATCCCGCACGCTCCTAGCATTCCAAATTCCTATCAAAATTGAGTTATCCATTTTACCTTCCAGGGGAGATTGTACTCCCTTTTGTCCCAACAGCGGCGGCGGAGTGCCTCACTCACCGTTCTTTCAGCGCTCCCTCTTCTGGTGACAAATGCAAGGGGCAAATAAACCGCATTCCTACAAAAAGGTATAAATTTTATTGAGTATTGAGAAAAAAACCAACACCTACATAGACTAACCCTTATCCTATATAACCCAAACAAACACAAAAATCTGTACAAAGGTGCATTACCTTCATCCCTCTTATCGCATAGTTTTTTAAGGACCCAGTTGTCCGTATTCAAAGGTGATCTTACAGTTCTATTCGTATTGCAGGGGCGCCGATAGCGCATTAGACGCCCTCTTTCATCCAGTTCCTTACATTTTAAGTAGGTTCTTAACATCATACCAGGTTCGCATCCTATTGCAAAATAACAATACAAAATTAATTTTTTTAACTTTACAAAGATTCCATATTCACTTCGTGCCCGAGGGCTCCACGGGGGCCAAATAAGGCGAGCGCAATTCCAAAACAAAAAAGTCCACACCCTGTTGTCTTTACTGAATACCATCCTTTTCCATTCACACTTCCAAAACACACATGTCCACAAAACCTTAACCCTACAGAAACGCACTTTTCTCCCTTCATTGTCCCATAACCTAAAGTCCCACAGAAAACCACTTTGTCGACGCTTGGGATAGAACCCCAAGTGCTTACGCCTCTTTACTTGGTTCGTCCCCATTGCCTTGACGGAAGACCCATCCTAACGGGCCTTTCTTCATTTCTCTTAATCTCTGGAGACAACGCTCCTCTTCTCTTTCCGCTTCTGCTTGTTCCCTCTCCTTTTCCCGTCTGGCATACGAAGGGGCAGGCAGGCTGTTCTCCCACTCTTCTTGCTGCTTCCTTTTTTCTTCCTCCCTTCCAGCATACAAGGCCTTTTTCCTATCAATTTTTGCTTGTGATTTGGCCGGTATGGGAATATCCCACGGCGGCCTTTGGGGGGTATTCCACTCCCTGTATTCCTCTTCTTCAGACTGCTTTCTTTCATATTTTTTCTTCCTTAGATGCTGTTCCACCTCCTTCTCGAAACCCCTATCTGCTATCAAGCTTAAGAGCTCCAACAAAAATTCCTCCTCTAATTGTCTGTTGGCTCTCTGTTCCATTTTACTCACTTTCTTAATCGCTGCCTCCTCCAGTTCACCATATCCACACGTGTATTCAGCTTCTACATCTTCCGGATCCGATTCCGGCTGCAGCACCTCGTACCTATTATCCCATTTTTTCTTTTGCAATTCAATCATTTTCCTCCTAACCAGACCCTCCCTGGTTTTAATAGGGTCATTATCAATGATTAAATTTAATCTGCCCCTACCACGTCCCTTACTTGGAGGGAGGGGGGTCCTTTCGGAGTCCCAGGGCTGTCTTCCATCCTCTTTGGTTGGGCTCTGAAGGCACGGGCCGGCCACGGACCTCGCTGATGGCCTGCAATTCCTCACTTAAGGGGACTTCCCCTTTTTCCCAAAACTCAGGATTCTTGATTTTATTCCTTCTAGACAAGGCCAGAAAGTCCCTAGAGCCGTCCACTCTATCATCATCTTCGTCCAGGATTCCCTTTTCTCCCATCTGCTTTGATACCCAGTCCCTAGCAGTGGCATACGCCACGTTACGATACGCCATCACTTTTTTCACTGCTTTCTCTCTTTGGAATTTCCAGCAGCCCTTTGACAGGCTGATATGGTTTAGGCATTTTGCCGATCTATCGCACTGACCATGCTCATTTTCTAAGCATTTAATACACCTTTTGTATTTGTTTCTGCATTGCATTTGGACATGGCCAAACGCAAAGCACCTATAGCACTGCTTCACAGCCTCCACGAAAGGGAACACCCTTACACTCACATGGCCGTGGCCAATCCAAAGTTCCTTTGGTAGTTGATCTCCCCTGAAGGTGGCAAGGATTGCAATCCCCTCCACCCACTCAGTCTTCCCATCCTTGGTAACCTTCTTTTTCAATCTTTCAAATTTTGCTTCAGGTTGACCAGGAACCAGGGCTTCCTCCAGTGCATCCACGGGCTCCTCCCAGTCAACGATAACACCCCTTCTGGACCTCTTTCGCTCTGGTGAGTATGCGTTAAAGCATGTATCTCCCTCATCCGCACGTCTCAAAATTTCGTTGGCCGCGGCCATTTCGCTGAACGTCAGCTCCGCCCTGTTAAGCCGAGTATCCACCTGTATCAAACGCCCGTATCGTATCACCGTTCCGAACCCTTTTGAATAGGCAGGCGTTGCCTCGTTCCATGCCACGGCAGGCTACGGCTCGGACAATAGTTCTTCGTTTCTTGAAAGAAACTCCTATAGGCGAGAAGTTTCGATTTGCTGCATGCTGTTTCTTTACTATAGGAGTCCGTCGCTTACAATTAGTACTGTACAACTTTTATTACATCTGCAAGTTAAAAGAGGAATTTTGGGAATCGGTTTATGACTTACAGAAATAAAATTAATACTGTACAACTTTTATTACATCTGCAAGTTAAAAGAGGAATTTTGGGAAACGGTTTATAACTTACAGAAATAAAATAGGGGTAAAATATGTTATTATACCAGGGGTTCGAATTCACTTAATTCGTTTATTACTCGAAGAGGTCATTGTTTATTACCCTTGTTGCTTTCATCGGACTGGTATTACCTGTGTACCATGCAAATTCGGTACCTCCACGAGGACTAGGAGGTACCTTCGACGTAGAGAAAAATATAGTGCATCCGCGTTGTTATTAGATTTAAAATTTCAAAGTGTCAGTGGGTTATACAAGAATTTCATGCGGATGCACCCAACAGATTTTGAATTTCTTTTAAACATAATTGGACCAGAAATTATGCGGCAGGATACTAAGTACAGAAAAGCCATTACGGCGCAGGAACGATTGGCTGTGACGCTCCGGTTTTTGGCAACGGGCGATTCCTTTACAAGTTTACAATACTTGTTCAAAATATCGAAACAAAGTATTGGCAAAATTGTTCCGGAGGTGTGTGAAGCCATTACGAAGGCACTGAAATCGTATATTCAGGTAAGTGAACTATAATTCATTTTTCCGAACAGCACAAACGTGCAAATAGAAAACAAAAGTTGTGTCTTTTTACAGATTCCAAAAACTGGAACGGAATGGTTAAAAATCGCACAGCAGTACAACGATACCTGGAATTTCCCCCACTGCATCGGCAGCATTGATGGGAAACATATAAGTATTCAATCGCCAAAACACAGCGGAAGTGACTATATTAATTATAAGGGATTTTTTAGTGTTGTTCTTCTGAGTGTTGTAGATGCTAATTATAATTTTTTATTTGTAGACGTTGGCTGCCAAGGAAGAATTTCAGATGGAGGTGTATTTAGTAATTCTTCTCTATATCGGGCCATGGAGGAGAAGAAATTAAATATCCCAGCGGCTACTCGGTTAGCAGGAAGAGAAACACCGATTCCTTTCTTTTTCTTAGGAGACGAAGCCTTCCCCATTTCGGAACACCTCCTGAAATGTTACTCGGGATATTTTACGAAAGGATCACAGCAACGTATATTTAATTATCGAGTATGCCGGGCCCGAAGGGTTGTTGAAAACGCCTTCGGCATATTGGCCGCAGTCTTCCGCGTATTAAGAAAACCCATGCTTTTATCGCCGGAAAAAGCATCTCTTGTTGTTTTAACAACAACAATGTTGCACAATTTTTTACGGCAAAGGCCAGATTCCTCTCGACTTTATACTCCACCTGGAACGATGGATTACCAAGAGGAAGGCATTCTGAGAGGAGGTAATTGGAGGGAACAGGGCAACGAAATGGGAGCGCTTTTGCCCTTGCGAGGAGTTCCGCGGAGAACAACTTCCGCGTTGTTCCAAATTAGAGAGGAACTGGCCCATTATTTTTTGGCGGAAGGAAGAGTACCTTGGCAGGAAGACTGTGCATAGTTTTTATTTAAATATTATAATGTAATGTATGATAAATATATAATCCCCTGTTTTTTAGAATAGTAATTCGTAGTGTGTAAATAAATTGTAAATAAGAAATTGTTTTACTGCGTTTGTAAATAAAACTTCATAATTTATTGGTTTTTCACCTCCACGAATTATATCGAAAATTCGATTTGATGTTTTTCTCTATATTAAAATTTAATTTTCTAACATATTTATGTAATTGTCTTATTTGTGTAATTTATTTTCATCACTAAATACAACCTAACAAAAATTAATTGTGTTTACAAAGTATTCCTTTTGTACAAAGAAAAAGAAATGAAATAAACATTTTTACTAACATTTTCTCAATCTATGTTCGTGTTTACTTCGTGTTTACACACTGTATATCGGCCATCGAGGTTTAGGCTAAAATTGTAAAGTTTAAATTTTGATTTAAATTTTGAAAAAAATGTGTTCATATTCTCTGAAGTTTCCCCTTCAGAAGGATGATGAATTGAATATTGGCGTTACAATAAGCTGGAAAAGGACGCTCCGCTATTATGGTCGGTTGTCTATACCAACAGACCTCGTATACGACTAAATGACACCATTTCTACCTCGAGAACTATATTAGTAACCACTCTTGATCAACGACACTTTTTTACTTAACTTACATTTAACCCTGAAGTGATGCGGAAGTGAATGGGCAGAAATATCTTTTTCAAATATTACATTTAATTATGTAACTGAAAATGAATACAATAACCATGCTGATTGTCTACAACCTCGCTTTGCAACACCATCGAAAATTTGTGGAAATATTTATTAATAGTAATAAATGTTAATGTGGCTCTAATAATTTGATCACCTACTGTATGTTTTCATTTTCCGTATTCAGTATAAATAAAGTGTTAGATCACAGAGAGAGGGAAGAGAAAGGAATGAATGCTATTTAACATTATATATATATATTTTATATATTATCTATACATGTAGGTTCAATTTCTACAAATAATTGCATTATCCGTGCTTCAATATGGACCCTTTCATAATTGTTCAGCTTTCTCAGTTTAGATGCAATAAAATTTGCAAAATGTTGGGATTCGTCAGGTGGTGGATCTGACGCAGTCTCCAGAATCTCAAAGGCCCTCTCCAAACGATCCTCTTTCTCGGTATGCCGCCTTTTCGCGGCAACCGTTCTTGTTGGGCGCAATGGGGTGCTCGTACTGGGGCCAGGTTCTCCCCCAAGCATCTCTACATTCTGCCCCATATATGACTGCTCTGTCACCTCATCTTCTACCGCCTCTGGACTTACGATTTGTACTTCATCTTCCATCTGAAAACAAGTATTGTTTCTAATTTGTTGCTAATAAAGTATGCTTTTATGAATTGTGGAAAAAATGAAAAAATAATTGAAGGTTTGCGTACCGTATTTAATGTCCTCCTAGATTTATTTTTATCCCATAGGAATTGCATACTTTCGAATGCAAACCATTGGCTTTTATATACTTCTTGTGTTCCTACAATCAAAATAACGATAGAAAGTTAAATTGAGCCGCTGTTTTCTGATGTGTAATACTGTATAAAGTACCAAATATTTCTAACTTTCAATTCATGAATGTGTGATAAAAAGTACTTACCCTTTCCGGTGCCAACACTTCTTTTCATTTTCAACTTTTCCCTCCTCAAACCTGCGAGGAGGTATTCTATTTTTTTTTTACATATTGCTTTAGGTTTTTCTATTTCTGCGCTTAATTCCTCCCACGCATCTTCTTTTTTTAATTTATTAAAATAATCGCAGTTTTTGGGGTCCCACAACACACTCTTAGATCAGTACACTTCAATTAAGGTGAGAATTTCTGCCTTACTAAAATCCATGGTGACTGCAGTGTAAACGGCAACTAATCTTTCTCCGTATTGATGAGAAATATATAACTTCCTAATCGTGGTGGGGGTTTCGGTGTAGAAACTTCCACTTCCTGTATTGGTTGAAATTCGTCGTCGGGGGTAAATTTGTAATTTTTCTGATTGGTTGCGTTTTGCAAACGCGAAGGTACCTCCTAGTCCGCGTGGAGGTACCGAATTTGCATGGTACACAGGTAGTACCAGTCCAATGAAAGCAACAAGGGTAATAAACGATGACCTCTTCGAGTAATAAACGGATTAAGTAAACTCGAAACCCTGTCATAATAACATATTTTTTCCCTATTTTATGTTCCTAAGTTATAAACCGATTCCTAAATTTACTCCTTTAACTTTCAGATGTAATAAAAATCATTTCCAATTTTCCAAACAGCAGGGGTTCCATTGTGCGGCACGGCTTTTGTCTTGCGTAGCAAGAGAATCACACTGTAGGAAATACTATTATAAATAAGAATTGTCTAAACCATATCGTATTTGGTATCATTTTAATCAGAAAAACGTCACAAATATCTTGGTAACAGTTTTATAAGAAAAAAATGAAAAATAACAAAGTTCAGTTGTTGCATTAGTATTATCTCACTGATATATCCGATTCCAGATTCCAGATCTCGTGCCTCAAGAGTCATGTTTACACTTGTGTAACATCCCGCAGGAAGAAGAATAAATAAAAAAAAACCACCATTATTAATTATTAAAAAATATATTTATTTTTTTTTTTAGTTTTTATACAATCAAAATTATAACACTTCGTTTTTTTTATTATTATTGTATTAACACAATTCAGATTGACAATTATATTCATATTTAACAAATAAGAAAAGAATGTTGTATTTATACTTAACAAAATTTATACTTAAAAAAAAAAAATACATCGATAATTACCGCGTCGATAATTCTACCACGTCGATAAAAGATCGACGCGGGATATATAGATAGAGATAGGAATAACACGTAGAGAGAGATAGAAATAGAGCGCAGAATAAAGAAAGATAGCACTACGCATAGACAGAGACAGCGATACGCGCGGAGTCACGTACACTCCGGTCAAAGTCCAAACACTTCCGGTATCGAAAACGCGTATAGAAAAAACTGCTACGTAGGCAAATCTCGGGTATAAATACGAGCGTGCCGCGAGGAGCATTTCCACTTCGATTCTGATCGTAGTCCGACACGGATCTATGATACGATTACTACATAGGTTTCCAGTAGCTTAGATTCTTTTGTCGGCGAGGCGGCAAAGGTTCTGTGTCAGACCCGGAGCGCCCGACCACCGGTTCGCAGCGGTTCTCATATGTGTCAGGTTCGCTACCAAGCTTAACGAGCGAGCGAAAGCCGAAGCTCCTTGGATGCGGCCTATTAGTACACTGGCTCTAGAGCGACGATACCATCCTGCAGTGTTCGCAACCAAGCTTAACGAGCGAGCGAAAGCAGAAGCTCCTTGGATGCGGCCTATCAGTGACGGCTAAGTTGCTCAGAAATCGTACTGCGGCCGAACGGGTTAGCTCCTACAGTGTCGGAACGGATCCACGCCAACTCCTCGACAATCGAACAATTTATTTGAATAATTTTATTTTTTTTGGTTATAAACTCAAGTTATAAATTTAGAATTTTTATAATCGTATCTAGAGACGCGTTTACTAATCAATTAAATTTTTTCTTTGTATTTTATTTTAGGTCAAACTATTTTGTTATTTTTCTTTGTATTTTTTTTTTATACAGGGCGCACTCATTGTAACTAATATAATTAATTTTCCTTTTGTATTTCAAGAACAGGGCGCAACATTTGTACACTGATTACACTAATTACTTACATTTTTATATAACTCAAATAATTACTTACCTTTTCTTTTTATACACATATTATAAACAAACACATTACATTTTTTCTTGAATAAACACTCATTACGATTTTTGAGAAAGGAATTAACGTTGGATTTCACTCCTTTACCGCGCACCACCCGAACCTATGATCCCTTCATTATATAATTATTTACGAGACGCCTTCTTATAGGGAACCGCTCTCCCTACGCAGTCGGTGCAGTAGCGTACTCGCGATAATAATTCCGGGACGTTACACTTGACATAGCATTTCGGGCCTTCGCCTGGGTATGTTGCTTTTACGTTTCAAGTGGTCTCCGAACCTATCCTTTGAACGGCAAAAAACCGACAATTTTCGGATCGGCCCGTTCCTTCACCTCCGTATCACAGCCCAATAGAACTTCGGATACTCGGCAACGGAAAAATCTCTACAAAATTAACATTGTCCTTTTTCAATAATGACACAGCTGATTATTAACATTGCTGTTTTATGTACAGCGTATCGCCGAAGATAATTGATCTGTTTCAATATATTTAAACGATAAAATTTGTCTAAATTAAATTAGATTAAGTTCATAAATAATTTCATCGATTTTGAAATGAATCCAATAATACCGCAAGATTTCAAATAAATTGAAACCCAAGTAACCGCACGAAACGCTATGTCAAGTGCAAACGCATGAACCTTTCCTTCGATGGAACGGCAAAGAACCAAGAAATTTTTCGGATGGGTCCGTTGCCTCCGTTCCTTTGGAACGGCACACAGCGAAACGAAACTCCTCGCCTGTAGTGGCCCAGTCCTATTGCCTAACCGTTTCTATCAAGAAACGAAGAAATGTTGTCCGAGCCATGCATGCAACGGGGCAACGCCTGCCTATTCAAAAGGGTTCGGAACGGTGATACGATACGGGCGTTTGATACAGGTGGATACTCGGCTTTAAATGCGACCATTTTAAACCCCCTTAAGTATCTCCCTTTGTTCTTAATTTGCCTGTATATTTTGATAACATTTCTACGCTTCAATCTACTGGTGGCCTCCTTCTTCAGCACCAGCGACACCATGTATTCTCTACTCGTGAGCTCTTCACAATAATAGGATTTCTTTGGTTTCTCACCTTTAGGGGCGTTTACACCGTGTTCTGTAATGGCCGGTCCTTTGTTCCTTCATGTTTGGTCGTCCTTTATAGATTCCAAATTCTCTGCGTCCTTTTCTACCGTTTCTTTTCCCAAATTCTTATCCCTATTATCTGCATCAACAATACATTTAGGTACGGTATTCACCTCCGCAGATTGCTTATCTCCCTTTTTTTTACCTTGAATTGCGTCTCCCAAATCTTCCTCGCTAGTTCTTCTTAACCTCTTTCTACTTGATTCTACCAGGGTCCACTCGATTTTGTCGCTCGGCGTAGTTTATGCGTCGTTTCCGCATTCTAACGGTTTTTCTGACGTCATTCCAGTGTTACCAACTTCGTATTCCAAATGTTCCTTGTCCAATTCCATGGAGGCCATGCGTGGCTCTTTTTGATTGGTCACTTGTTTCCTTCTGTTCAAATTCTGCCATAATTTCAGCAACCCTCAGCTCCCTCTGAGGCGTTTTTTCTATAACCGACTTTCCAGCAAAAAATTCACGTGCTTCCTTGTCTTCTTCCAAATACTCTGTTTCCCATTCACCATCACTACCTGGTTTTTCCATTTCCACTTCTTTTACGAGTTTCGAGCTTTCACTTTCGCTGAGGCTCTTACTCTTATTCCTAATCTTCTCCTTAATTCTCCGTCATCTGCTCCCAAGCGGCAAAGATATGCCGCTTGGGAGGATCCCCTCCCCCCACCGATTAATTCCTGGACCGAGAAAACTCAGCCCAGGAAAATAACCCAAAAGTTTCCACCCCGCACTCTTTGTACCCGGGTTTTATGCTTGACCCATTAAAACTTCAATTTCTCTACAGGAAAACAATTTTCCCTATGAGAAGATCACTCGGCACAAAATTTCCAGCGCACTCACCGCTCTACCAACCGCTCCACTCAGCCGTCGAAACGGAAGTGGAACTGGCCTTTCTTCATCTCCGCAATCCTTTGTCTACTCCTTTCTTCCTCCCTTTCAGCTTCCAATGCCTCCAATTCTCTTTCCCTCCTGGCGTACGATGGGCCCGGAAGGCTGGCCTCCCATTCCTCTTGCAGCCGCTTCCACTCGGCCTCCCTGGCCGCATGCAGGGCCTTTCTCCTTTGAAGCTTCGCCAGAGTGTTGGGTGGTATCGGTATATTCCACTCCGAGCATTGGATCGAGTTCCATTCCTCATACTCTTCCTCTGCAGTAGGCTGTTTAGCATATTTCTTCTTTTTCAGCACCTTCTCCACTTCGTTTTCCAAACCCCGGTCAGCTATCAAACTAAGGAGCTCCGAGAGGAATTCCTCCTCCCTCCTCTTCCTCAATTGGTCGACCAATTGTCTATTGGCCCGCTGCTCCATTTTGCTAATTCTTTTTATAGCAGCTTCTTGGATTTCACCATTACCAAAAGTATATTCCGCCTCAATGTCCTCCGGATCAGACTCCGGCTGAATGGTGGCGTACCTGTTGTTCCACCTCTCTTTCTCCAGTGTGATTAAATTTCTCCTGATTAGACGTTCTCCTGCCTTGATAGGGTCATTGTCCACTTCCAAGTTCAATCTCCCTCTCCCTCTGCCCCTACCCCGTGGGGGGGGATTATCGTCTTTATTAAGGCCCTGGACCACCTGATTCCACCCTCTGCCTTGTGAAGGAGGAGGGGAGAGCGGGCCACGGGCTTCTTGTATCGCCTGCAGCTCATTGTCCAGGGGAACGTCAAATTTCTCCCAAAACTCCGGGATTCTCGACCTGCTTTTCAGCGACAGCGCAGGGAAGTCCCCTGAAAATTCCAATACATCGTCCTCATTATCAAAAATGCCCCTGTCATCCAACTGTTTGGTAATGATATTTCTTGCCGTGGCATATGCAACATTACGATACGCCATCACTTTCTTGATGGCCTTCTCCCGTTGGAATTTCCAGCAAGCCTTAGAGAGGCTCATGTGGAGACCTCCACAGTTTATACATTTAACCTCCCGTTCACATACACCATGTTCATTTTGCAAACACCTAATACAACGTCTCGACTTATTTCTGCACTGCATTTGCACGTGCCCGAATGCAAAACAACGATAACATTGTTTCACCGACTCAACGTAGGGAAACACCCGGACACTCACATGGCCTTGGCCAATCCAAAGCTCTTTCGGGAGCTGATCTCCCTTGAAGGTGGCCAGAATGGCCAGGCCTTCCGCCCATTCCGATTTGCCGTCCTTAATCACCTTTTTTTTAGTCTTTCCAACGTACACTCAGGTTGCCCAGGAACCAACGCCTCCTCCAGAGCACCGACAGGTTCCTCCCAGTCTGTGATGACACTCTTCCTCGTTCCGATCCGGTA